TTTTGTTCCACAAGTTTCTTGTGGTACAAAGCATCATCTGGACGTTATCATTTGTGTTCTTCAAATAAATCAAATTGCTGCCAATTATGGTTAGTATGCTGAAATATTGGGTGACGGTTAGTTCTCCTTGTTTTTGATCGCAAAAAAGGCATTCAATATCAAAGAGTCAGACATATTCTCCACGTGTGAGTATGACTCCTTTACTGTTTGCCGTAGTTTTGCTTGCAGTTTCATAGGGGAGAAAATCTTTCCCTATTTCATTTGTCATGGAATTAAGTAGCCACGAGATTACTTGGTTATTTTCCATTTTTCATCTTGATTGCTTTGGTTTGACAGCTTCACTGGTAAGGTATTCATCCTTTCCTTTCCGAATATGAAGATGAGGACTGACTGTGACCATTGCAAGTAATTTAATTTAATTTGTGGCTAGTGATCAAGCTGATTTGGAAAGTAAAGGCCTATCCAAGAATTGTTTTCTTTCCTTGGGAGGCAGGTAGAGAATGCATTTTGACCATTGACAAGTTAATGAGAAGGAGCAAGACCATGGTGAATGGGTGTTATCTTTGCAAGAATGCTGCAAAGTTGTGTAATCATATTCTGCTATGGTGCCTGGTGGCATATAATCTTTGGACAAGAGCCTATGGTTTATCAAGAATTAATTAGGTTATTATAGGATCGGTAAGGGATGAGACTCAGGCATGGGAGGGGATTTTTAAAAAAGAAAAATTTGTAAATCTTATTCCATTAACTATTTTTTGGGTGGTGTGAAAAGAGAGAAATAATAGGGTTTTGAGGGGCTTGAAGAGGAGATATACAAAATCAAGAATATATGGTTTTATTATTTTGGTTCTTTGATTTTGGATCATGACTTGTTAGGATGGAAGACTTTGGGAGTATTGTTTATGCGCTAACAGATTTGTAAGTATCCTATAAATGGGTAGCACCCCCTTGGTGCCGTTGATTTAATATATTTTTTACACATTTTATTTTAAAAAAATTTGTGGCTGGTGATGGTGAAGGGCCGACTGTTGAAAGCTTCTGGTTGGCTAATAGGACTCGGATGACATCCATTGAGGGGACTCCTTTCTTAGCAGCCATGGATTTTTTTCTTTTAAAAATGTTGGTTGTCAGAGTTTGAGTTACTCTGATAGCATGTAGAAATGGAGAAATTTCTCTCTATGTTTCAAAGGGCTGAAGACAACCAATATATATGTAATAAATATTTACTTTCCTTTTCTACACGGTTTGAAAATTAATTTACAGTAAATTAGGAATTAGATATAAAACCTGATAATGTCAATCTAGCTATTAATAACAAAAAGGAACAAATAATAATAACTGGATTTTTTTACCAAATCAGGAATTAAATGCTGAGAATAGTTCCATACATGCTCTTGTTCTTTTCATTATATGGTCATAACTGTCTACTGAAACTCTATTTTGCTTTGGTTCTCTAGTGTTTGCTACTATGATACTGATGTATTCTATGCTGTTTTCATCCAGGACTTTGGACAATGTGATGCAAAAAGGTGCACAGGACGCAAACTATTGCGATTTGGCTTGTTGAAAGAAAGTATCTGCTTGGAATATTCTTGTTTTCATGTTCTAATTATGCACATTTGAGTTTTTCTTATCTTTATCTCTTTTCTTTTTTCCCTTAAATTCTATAAATATTTTTGGGATGCAAAAGTGATTTATTAAAAGACAGAAAAATAAGACAAAGACGGAGACCAATGAATCCTCTTGACAAGAAATATATTGCACCCACATTTAATTGTTGTTAGTTGATGAATATTCGTATATATATATTTATATCTTGAAAATTTTGTGAGCTCATCTTGCAATTTGATGGCAACTGCCAAGCATTCATATGCATAATTTAAATGATCTTCTAGGACTCAAAATTGAACTATTTTTCTTGCAGGATTTGCGTGTGGGAGGTGGTTTTGGAGGCATTGTTTTGAGGTACTTCTAGCAACAGTGCCTGCATTTAAATCTTTGTTGGACTTATTCCTCTTAAATTGTATATATACTATCATATATTTTTATGAAAATCTATTTCCTGCTTAAAAATGAGTTTGGGCTTATAGCATATAAAGGAAAGTTGGACAGCATGTGTTGTCAGATAGAATTACTTTGCAATGCCATTTCAGATTGTTGTCATTAATTTAGTTGTTTACAGGTGCATGCTTTGATATTAAAGATGGAAATCTGGGAGATTCATGTCAGGTTCATGTTGGCTAGATTAGGTTTTGGGTCGTTTGAGTCATCGAGTCATTAGATTTCAGATTGACCGGTTTGATCAATTCGAGGTTACTTGAATTTTTGGCTTTTATGAATACCAAATTATTTGACCTTTAGGTATTTAAGTTAAATTTTATATTTTAATTTCCAGTCATTTTAGATTTTTTCCCTTTAATTTTCTAAGCCTGGATCTGATTTGGTTATAGACAAGTTTCATATAATTATACTTTGGGTTTTCAGGTATATTTGTGTTATTTGAGGTTCCATTTTCTAGTTAGCTATAGGTTTTGAGTTAATTTGGTAAAAAGCCCGTAGGATTTGTAATTATCCAAAAACTCGGGACTGTTTGTGTATTAGTCTATTTCTAGCTCGAATAATTCAGGATTTAAGTTATTTTCTTAAAGGAAAGATTTTAGACTGTTGACTATGGGTTACTTAAGTAAACCTTTTAATGGACCTAATTGCATAAATGCCCTTTTAGTTTGAAGGATTGTATATAATGAGAAATTTTCTCTTAATTTTTCTTTTTTAAAAGAATGAAAAAAAGTAGAGTAAGAATAAATTATTTGTCGCTTTATCTTTATTATTCAAGTCAAGAAAAAATGGGAGAAAGCATTAGAGGTTGTTTGGATTTTTTTTGGTTATAAAGCCCATATGACTTTTAGCTCCAAGAAGCAAGCTTGTTACAGTATAGTAATATTTTCGTCATATTTATTTTTTAGAGTAGGTCTTTCTTACATAGTAATTATTCCTCTTCATACTTTTCCTTTTCTTGGTGTAGATATCCTATAAAAAACTATTCTTTTTGCTTCTAATGTATAATAAAGTCAAAATATTTCTTTAGTAAGTACTGGAGAAAAGTTAAAAAGTTTGTTTAAAATACATAGAAAACACAAATAGGTCTTGTAGGGGTGAATTGGGTGATGGCTAGACCAATTCCAACACAAGCTTGCCACAACTCTTAGTCTAAAAAGGACTCACTCTGCCGACTTGAAGGAGAGAAAACATGTGAGAGAAAAATACTCATAGGAAGGAGTCACCCGTGTGGGCGGGACTCTTTTTCTCCCCCACCTCTTGATGACCCATGTGAAAAAGGAGATTCACATGTGGCTGCACATGCTGCAGACTCCTGAGCCTGAATGGTTTTTCCTTGCTTCCTTGTGGGCCTCATTCTTGGATTCAAGCCCTTCTTCTTCATTGATCCACTCTTGAACAAATAATTGAAAGGCTTGTTTGAGCTTTTTGGATCTTGATCTTGTGATTGACCTATTAGGCATCATAATTCCTTTCCCAAGTGATCCAAGTCCATCTTTCATGTCTATTTCTTGAGGTTGCCGTTGGGCTCCATGCGTGTGGAGTTTTGGGTCAAAACCATGGCCCTCTTCATTGTCGCGGGCTTCATCTAACCTGCGGGAATCCCCCATGCCATGGATTCCTTCATTCCTGTGGGATTCTCTTCTATGTCATGGGATTCTTCCATGCTACCTCAGCTTACATCACCTTGCCTTGGCTTAACTTCTCGCCTTGGGATGCTGTTATAGATGTATCATAGATAGGATGTATCTTTATTTGATCTTTTGCACATAAGTTCATATAGGTATTTTTGAGGTAGCTCTAACTCAATGTTGGCTTCCTCCTTTTCAAGTATTTCGTTAAGAATTTTTTGATACAAAATTGTAGATTTGGGGAGTCCAAGTTGGTTTGTCGATTAGATAAGTCTGAGCATAGGTTAAAATAGTCTCCCAAAGATTGGCTTGAAAGTTGTACAAAGTTGTGAGTGTTTGGTTTTGTACCAAAGAGGAGTTGATAACTCTTTTCGTTATCATCATTATGTAGCTAAAAAATTGTTTATTATGCATGTTGGTAGTTAAAACTTTAATGTCCGTTTTCTTATTAATGTTGGTCTATAGTTTATAGTCTTGTAGGAGGTCAAGTGGGTAGTGGCTAGAGTGGTTAAAGAAGAGATGTAGGCATAAAGAGGCATACATGAGGACATCGATCTTAGACTTTGGAGGCCATATGATATTTTTTAGCATTGAGGTAGCTCGAACGAAATTTGGGGCTTTTTTTTACAAACAAAGTGTTTTCCTGATTGTCTAAAAGAGACATGAATATTTGGATTTAAACCTATTGATTCTCCTACATATTCTATTTTCAAACTGGCTTTAAATGAAGATGAACTACTGGAGAGCCCCTGGGTGTTAGGAGAATAGTTGGGAATTGAAGTACCTCATTGTAACTCATTCAGACATTTCACTTGGTATAAATGTTGTAATTCAATTTGCGGACACTCCTCAAACTAGCCTCTATTAACTCATTGTACATATCTTAAAATATGTTAAAGGTGCACTTAGTCGTGGATTATCCTATAAGAACTATGAACATACTTAAATCCAGAGGTGATGGACCCTGATTGGTCTGGTTAAGTTTCAAATGGTGGATTTATCATATGTTATTCTGTTTTTATGGGTAGACAGTGTCATGGAAGAGTAAGAGTATTGACCTATGGCTCAGAAAACTCTCTTTTTTGAAAGAAAAAAAAATGTATGGCTCATAATACTAATGAGTTCATTTGGTTAAAAAGTTTTCTCCACAAGCTTGGTTTTATAATCACAAGCACGAAGTTACTATATGATAGCCAAACAACGATCTAAATTTCTCGTGATCTAGCTTTCATAAGAGAACTAAGCACATAAAGTTGATTGTCATTTTATTTGAGAAAAGCTTATATTCAATGTGATTCAGACAACTTTTATTATATGATAGCCAAACAATTATCTATATTGCTTGGAATTTAGCTTTTTTATGAGAGTTTTAAGCATATAAGGTCAACTGCCACTTTATTTAAGAAACAATTTTACACAATATGATTCAGAAGACTTCTATAAAGTCACCAGAGTAACTAGCTAATATGCTTACAAATCCTTGGGAGGAGCTGTAACAAGTTTAGGCATATGATGATATGTATCTTCTATCTTGAAGAGAGTGGTACAATATAGTATACATTTCTTAATATTTCTTGTATAGGTATTTTTTTATTGTTATTCTTTTATCTTTATGGCTTTCATTCTCTTAGTATAGAGATATGTTAAGGGCTACACAAATGGTAAAATCACATCTTTTTATAAGGTGTATCAAAGAAAAAAAAAAGGAACATTGGAGTCTAATTATTAGAGGATGTAAAATTATGTCATAAGAATAATGTGTATCAGGGTACTGCTGCATATGCTAATGTTATGATAGTTATGGAAAAATATGAGGACAAGCAGTAGGGTAGTTAGGCTAATTCTCGAAATAACTTCCAGAATAATTGTTATCTATTGTCATAAGAACCACTGTTTTTTGAGGATAGATTATTATGAGTAATTTTATGGATAAGTCTGAGCGCTTTATTACTCAAGGAGATAGTAGGATTCTCTTCTAGTGAATCCTTAATGAATCTGCAAGACAGGCAAAGGAAGAAAAACTTACTAATGTCATCAATCTCCCATTCATTTCTATGTTCACAGTCGTGTAATTTGATCTATCAGTAAGGGTGATAGCAAGATCCCTATATCCTCACGTATATTCTCTTTTTAATATATGATGAAGTTATAATATTTTCTTCAACAAAGCTTTAGTGATTTAAGCATTTAAAGTATGATCTCAGTGCTTTAAACTCTAGTAAGTTGTCAAGTTTTGTGAAGACGTTAGAGCTTTAAACTGATGAGTAAAATGACAAAAGGTATATAAGTTGCTTCAAATTAAAAGTTATCTTTTAGACTCTAAGAGTATTTTGCTGCCAGTAGTACTGCAAATAAATTGAAATGAAGTTTAATTTTTTTACTATTAAAATTTACTATTGGAGATATTCATTAATTATGTGTAAGTACATTTTGTTATATTTATGCTATCTCAGAAAAAAGTATAACTACTTATTATGTTGAGAATGGTGTGTTTTTATACATGTAGGTAAGTTCTTTAGTTTTGATAAGGGATATTTGGCAAAAAAAGGTAAAAAGGAGCTTTCAGTTTCTTACTTAAAGCTCTTCAGAAAAAAGCTAGTCTTATACTCGTTTAATACTTTCTTTTCACCTTAAATTTTTTTCTCTGGACTTGAGCAGTGAGAGCAAAATGATAAAGAGATTATTTCAGATTTATTTTTTTTGGTTCAGTTTTTTTGACAGACATGAAATTGAAGAAAATAACAGCAAGGACATTCATGTAATTATTCAAAATAAAGGGGATATTTAAAGCGTATTTATATAATTTATTAGATATGTTTGGTAGTGCATTTTCAGGTGGAAGAAGTGGGTTGTCTGTTTCTGTTATTTGATTGAAGAAATAGAAAGTCCATTCTGCAATGAAAGAGCTTTTGTTTTAGGGGAAGGTGTTCATATGCTTGTGTATCAGTTTCATCTAATTCTACCAATTTTTCTAATGTTTTTAATTCCTATTTGCAGTCCTGTGGGAAGTCATTGCATCTCAAAGGAAGATTACAGCTTAATGAAGAGGAAAGGATTGGCTGTTGTGGATTGTTCATGGGCACGATTGGGTGACGTACCATTTGTGAAGCTACGTAGTGGTGCTTCTCGCTTATGTATGAACTTCATTCCAGCAAATCAATGGCATGTTCATACATATTCTTTTTAAGAATATAGATATCCATTTTTTAATCATTTTGGAATCCCAAAAATCAAGGATGATGAGATTAGGCCAATGAAATTGGGCCATAATGACAAAAAAAAAGTTAAAGACTGGCTGCTTCTTTATGGTACCAGTTATTGCTTTCTGTTTCTTGGGAAAAAATGGTACCAATTGTTGTTTTATTGAATTGGTCTCATTAATAGGCTAACAATCCCCAAAGTATCAATTAGCTGAGAACACATACTAATTTGGGGATGCATTTTTCCTTGCCACCTAAAGTCCTCAAATCAGGGTTCGTTATGTGAACAAAGAACAAGAATATTGAAGAGGAAGGGTGGACATGGTCCTCTTCCATTGCCCTTCCCTTTTGCGGTCCTTGAGTCCCTTCTTCCTATCCTGAACATAATGTTAGATTTAAGTTATTTTTGTTGACATCTAAGTAGAAGCTATAAAAGCTGTATGTTAGTGTTCTTTACCTGCTTCAATTTTAGCTGATGGTGTAAATGAAATGGTACTTGTTTTCATTAATGTAAACCTGTTTTAACTTGTATTATATACTGTTCTTTCTCATTTATGGCAATTTTATTATTTTTCTTGATTTTTTTAATTTGCTATTTTGTCTTGGGTTGTTTCTTAATAAGCCAACTGAATCTAACGTAAAGTCATTGATCTCATCTATCCTTGGGTGATTAACTAGTTGTCTTTATTTTTCTGACCATCTGGTGTGGCTCTATTGTGTTACGTTGTATTCCACGTTATGTGAATATGAAAAATTCCCATTTGCAGTGCCCTGGC